AGACACTATCTTCGAAAGGAACCCTCAACCACTCATCTGCCTGCGCAATCTTGCCCGCCCTCAACTTGAGATCAATAACACCCGAATACTCAAACGGCAACCCCGTCGCCTTTCGTCGTCCTAGGTCGTTGACGAAAATCCCCTTGTTGACGGTCCGGAAGCTGCAGTACCCGTTGCCGTCGGCGTCCATCTCGGCCCAGTAGACGGGGTACTGCTTGTCGAGGTAGACTTCAAAGTCCTTGTGCGCACCGTTCCAGTGTTTGTGGTGGCGTTTGAGGAAGGCGTAGGGGACGTGGATTTGGGCGCCGTGATCTGTCATGCAGGAGTCTGTTGTGAAAAGAGCTAGAAGGGAGGATGGGTCGCGAGCGGCCCAGGCGTGGCAGTAGATTGTGGGGAGGGATTCGAGGTCTTTCGGGGGTGCGGTGGCCATCTTGATGGGGTTTGGGGGGTTTCAGAAGGTGTAGTGGGCGACTGGAAGTGACTGAACCTCCCAGATTTAGGTTCATTGAATCGAGGTGGCTCGACGCGTCCAAGGTGACTCACAGAATGGTGTCTTAATTCTGACTTTACGAGGAGGAACGACCTCGTCTTTTTATCGATCAAGAAGGTCGCCCAGGGTCGGGATGGTGGTTGGGGAAGCTCCGTCATGAATTTGGCTGAAGATCGAATGAAACCGGAGGCGTCAAGTGGTGTTGATCGGACGAAGAACGGATGTGACGTGATGGGTTCCATGCGGCTTACCCGGGTTGCGGAGCAGAGGATTTGGAGATGTGTGGGCAGTGAGTTAAGCAGAAAATGAAACGAGAAATTCAGATAACTGACTTACTGACAGAATCGATTATTCGGCCAGATAAAAGCACTTCAAAAAACAGTTCATGTCCAAAGCCTTGAGTATACCTACTTAGCTGCCTCGAGCTATTGGGCATGTCGATGAATACTGGTCTCACGGTTGAAAGCAATGCCCAACCCATAAAGCCTGACGATTCATTCCCAGGTGCATTGAGCGGTCCGGGCATCTTTCTCCTTCATGAGATACCGGGTGAATTCGCAGAGATGTATTAGGACTCCGCACGCCTCGCGTGGCGGTCTTTCGTATTGGAATTACTGAATTGAGTTGAGCGCGTGCTTAGGGCATACTATACATTCAATCATCGCTCTAGGTAGTATCGTCACCTCGTATCTCGTTGGAACCTGCATCGGCGGTCTCCAGTCAGGCTGGCTCGCAGACAATTCAGTCTTCATTATGTACGTAGTGTCGGCCAGCCAGTCTTATATATCTAGTCCCCTTTGTCGCCGCAGGGAGAGATGTTAGGCGTGGTGGCGCTTTTCAGGAAACGAGAGACATTTAGCTTAGTGAATGGGTTCGTAGAATACTGGAAGTAATAGTGCAATCATTAGAGACAGAGACTAACGGCGCTGTTGTATTTGAACTCTGAGGATAGCGATAGTGGGGAATTTGGATCATATAGTGAGCGACTACTACATGTAGGTTTTAAGACTCTCGGGGTATGAATTGATCTTTCTTTCGCCTCTCACTACAAAGAATGCTGTCAAATTCACGCAGCCACGAGTACTCAATAGTGCAACTTCTTGTTGACCACATTAATGAGAGGCTTGCCAGCATCTATACGCTCCAAGTTTGCCTCCAGAACTCCTAGAACTCGCTCCCAGTATCCATCTGTTCTCCAACTGACGTGGGGTGTAATGAAGACATTGGGCGCCTTCCACAGTGGGTGATCTTTCGGAAGCGGCTCCGGATCTGTGACGTCCAAAGCAGCCGCCCGGATCTTACCACCCTCGAGAGCTTCGATAAGGGAGTCGGTCTGAATCAAGGGACCTCTGGCAACATTTGAAACAAAAGTCTTCCGCTTTGACAAGATCTCAAATTGCTCTTTGCCAATCAGTCCTTTCGTCTCCTCTGTTAAAGGCAGACCGAGTACCAATAGATCGAGGTCTTGGCTCAAGAAGTTGTTAATGGCTTCTTTGGAAGCGCCGTGGAACCACTTAGCAGGGACCAGTCCATCGGGGTCTCCAGTGCCGGGAACGCAGTAGCTGTCGTCTTTGCGAGACTCGAGTGTTGCGCGCTCGCTTCTCGTATACGCATACACCTCCATTCCCATTGCTTGCGCAACCTTACCACACTGGCGCCCTATGGCACCATAACCCAGAACACCCCTGAAGTCGATCGAGTCAGCAGCTCCTTCTTTCCCTCACGACGAACAGCGCGGGCGATGACTTACATGCGAAGTCCGACTGAGTCTTCAAAGTCTACTTCCATCGGGCCTTCCCAGAATCCTTCCTTCATGTGATTATGATAGCGCTGGAAATGGTGCTGGTGCGCGAGCCATGAACCAATGACCCATTCCGCGATCTGGGGCCTGCAGATCACGTCAGTCATCAGGTTATTGCATGAGACCAGTAGTAGCACAGTAAGAACTCACGGATGGCAGCCATTTGTAGTGCAAAATGAAACCTTAGGGTCCTTGTAGACATTGTGGTCGAGCCATCTATCGGCGCCTGCAGAGGTCAACTGCACGAAGCGAACCTTAGACAAGCGATGAGCAGACGGCGGGTTGAAGGCCATGAAAATCGTCACATCTTCCCACACCTCATCCGGCAGCTCATCTGGCAGAAGAAAGCCGCCACCAGGCCTCAAGTTGGACTCCCAGCAGACTTTCAGGCCGGGGAAGCGCTGAGAGATCCTGCTTGTCCATTTCGTGTCTTCCGGCGCTGAGAGAAATACCAAGAGCTTGTCTCCTGCCAAGGGGCTTTGACGGTTTCCAAGATCTCCCATCTTGATGATCTGGTCTTTGTCGCGGTCGTTCAACGCCAAGAGTTGGAAACCGTTGTGCTGAGGTTATTCTCAAGCTTGGTCCGCGGCAAAGTGCTTCGACAGTCTACTGCTTGGAATTTAACAAAGAGTATCCACGGTAGAGGGTTTCCGATAAGGAATCTGCGGGCTCTGATAGGCTGAAAATGGGAAAATGACTGGGTATTACTTAGTAAATCAATCGTTTGTCAGACGTGGGCCCCCCGGTACTCCGCAGTCGTCCCGAGACCGGGAACTATCCGCGATACCGGCTGTCTATCAGCAGCGCAAAGAACCCGGGCCGGCGTGGTGTTGGCCTCCCTATCTGACAGATAACGAGCCTTTACCTTGGTCCGGCATGGGCAGGCCGATATGAACCGGATATCCCTCTCAGTTCCCGGTACGAATTAACATTTTCTGCTTCAAACATGGTGGACACGCTTGTAAAGCTGAGCGTGGGCTAGCGCACGAGTCAGCACTTACGCGCCGACACGGTCGCCAACAGAGATCATCCGACCGCAGCTGAGAATACAATTTCCTAATCAAGCCTTTCTTACATGATGGACGAACGAATCACTTGTACCATCGTCAGAAGATCTTAGATCCAGTAGACGAGCTACAAGCCTCAAGTCCCCAGGCAGAGTGGTCGCCATCTCCGCCTACCCCAGCTTGTACTGTTGCGGGGTTGCATGTTTAATATGATTCAACCCCCGCCAGCCTCAGCAACTCTGGAGTAAGCTCAGGTTTCTCCAACGGCTCCATTCTTCTATTGTCAACAGTCCCATCCGGCAGGGTTGGCTGATTTGTCCTCGGAACAATGTTGTCATGAGGCCAATGCGTCGTAGCCAGCCACTTGTCGAAGGCTTTCTTCTTGGCTTCGAGGGCTGCCTTCGTCGCAAAAGATGCAGGAGCATACGACACATATGTGATGGTCCGTATGGTATTGCTCTTTGATGTTGGCTCGGCCCCGAAGTGGATCAGTCGCGAATCCCAGATGATCAAATCACCTGGTTCCGCGACAACCTTCTGCTCCCGATAGCCTTCCTTCTCGAACCATGCAATCTGCTCAGTCGTGTAGTTGAAAAAGTCTTTCCGCGTCCACTCCGACTTGTCGGTATGCTCTCTGAAAAACGACTCGGTGATCTTGTGCGTTCCCGGGTATACCGTCAACCCGCCGTCCTCGATGCCAGCCTTTGAGAGGTTCACTATGCCCTGAACGCACTCTAGGCCTTGTCTGTATGGGCTCTGGTCGACATGAGGCCACTTTTTTCTGGGAATATGACCTTGGCGTCTTGGAAGTGTGATGTTCAGGGCATCAAAGGAGACGATAAGGTCGCGGGTATTCCATACATTTGCGAAGACGTCGATCACGCCTGGTTCCAGGCGTATGTCCCACATGAACTTCTCGTGCACAACTCCGTAATGGTTCACTGTGTTGATTCCGGAAATGAATGGCAGATTGTCGGGGGTCCATGTTAAGGGGTCTGCTAGATCCAACGCGGCGTTGTCGAAGGACTTGAGCCACGCGAAGGCCTTTTGCTGATACTCGATAGCTTTATTGTAAGGGATTACCGATGGAATAACCGCAAAGCCATGCTCAGTGAATTGTCTATACCAATATGGTCTCGTCATCTCCAATTTGATATTGGAAATATGGATGGTGCAAAAATCTTACTTTCTTCCAAGGAAAGGAGGTATGTGACTCTTCACGCAATGGAAGAGTCCTGTACATATTGTTTCTATGCATTGAGTTGTTTTTACCAAGCATAAACCATCCAAAGAGGGGTATGATTAGTGTATCTACCATGGGAATCACGGAAGACTTGCGAGTGATGAGGTGCTCTCACAGCATCCACTTCAATCCGGCGGGACTCATCATGGCTGCATTACACCCGAGAACTCCTGCGAAGTCGGCGCGTCTGGCCATGGGAGACTTTGTCAGCTGGGTAGCGAAACGCCTCTCAATCGCAAATGACATCACAAAATTCGTAGTCGAAGCGAGAAAGGTGCTTTTGGCTGCCTAACAGCGAGAACTGTACTTCTTTATTATTTGGAAAAAGGTTTGGGACTTTGAACTTGTACTCAAGTTCAAGTTGACAGCTTTTCTATGAGCATCCTATGAGCATAATAACGATACTCTAAAAGGGCTATTGCCGCCCCCTTAACATGATCATGCCTCAAATCTCCGAGTTCAAAGAGAAACGCTTTTGCTCGACTCTTCCTCCGGAATATCCTCCAGCGGCTTCGCGTCGATTGATCGAACGGCAAAATAGGTTGGGATAAGTGCTAAACCCCATAGACCGAAATTGACGCTGGCGGCGGCAATGAGCTTCGAATGGTATTAGCTTGTTATCGACGAATCATATAAATAAACAGCCCCTCACGTCTCATGACTTCTTCAATGGATGAGGAGCACTTACAGGAGCATGCGTAGAGCTAATACCTGACGCCACCGCGCCTCCAGCCGCTTCAACGGCTCGAACCGTTGATGTAAATCGGATGATCTCAGCGTTATCACGCGCCATGTAGCCAGCAAGCCAGTAACCATAGTTGTATGCCAATGCGCTGCCACCAGTCAACACATGTGATCAAAAAGGGTAAAAGATGTTGGGTGGGACTCACAAATTAACCTGCAAGAGGATGTAAAGCGCCCATCCACGGCCGAAACCGCTGTCGACCCAATCCAAAGCAGGAGCTTTCAACCCATATTCTCGCTGAATGACAATTGCCCACACCCAGGTCCCCCCAAATAGTGCCATGATTCCGAAGTAAGCGAATCGGGCCCGCTGATTGATAGTGAATCGCTTCCAGTCCAGAAAGTTGCCGAATATGAAGTTTGCAGTAATCTGAGCCAGTGCAGAGACTAGGGATGCCAAAGCACGGGAGCGAACGGAGAAGTAAAGTGACAAGTAAGATCCCGCATATGATAGTAGAAATGTAGCGTAGAAGAAGAAGGGGAAACTTCATATCTTGTCAGCATCGCATCCCTGATCGAGGCCCTCTCTCACGGCCCGGCCACTTACACTAGCAAGAAGTCTTTGCGAATGAGAATTTTGGCAACACCCTTTAGTTCTAGTACCGTGGGAATCCGCTCAGCCTTTGCTACTTTTCTTCCATCTTGGCGTTGGACCTTGTCGGGAGGAGACAGAAGCATTGCTACAAAAGGCCCCAGACATTCTGGAAATGGTTAGAGAATGGTAGTAAGACTGCAAAAAGCCAAGAACTTACGCAAAGCTACGAAGACGATGTAGGTCCTGTAATCTAGCTTTCCCGTTGTCTTGCCAGTCGCATCTGAGGAAAGTCAACACTTTTTTTCTGTAAAGTGCAACTCTGCTTCACTTACTGAACGCAAGGTTGATAGCACCTCCAACGATTGATCCGCCCTGAAGCTCGTCAGCACTTTTGGTACAGATGTAGAAGCCCCGTCCCATGACCACTGACATTTCTATACGCCAGCCAGTAGGCCAGATACCTGCCGCGTTTCTGGTCTTCCGGATCTACGCTTCGAAGTTAGATGGATTCTAGTAGACCGGCCAAGGCTAAGACGACTTACAACTGATCATGATCGCGCCTTCTGCAGCCCAGAAAACACCAGCAGTGATACCACAAGCAGCAGAACCAACGTAGACGAACCACTCATTGCCGTAACGGTTGTTTGTGTACAGCGACGCTGAGTACAGAGCACTGGATTGGATTAACCCACGTACTTGGAAAATTCCACTCATCTCAAACTGAAGGCTGGAGGTGACTTACTATCCCGTCGTGCCAAAGATCAAGGCATTTTTGAGGCCAATCCTGTTGGCGACCACACTTCCCATGGAACATGTTACAACCATCATAACTCCTAAAACGGCATTCGCGGACCTTTAAGGTCAATCAGTTGAAGGGGTTCGGCGAATGGGAATACTTCAAAGTTTGAACAGAGACTTACATAACGAGGTATGGAGTCTGTTGACCACCTGCACCCGTCGATTGCATGGCATTGTAAAGGCCCGGGGCGAAGAATGCGCAAAGGCCAATCACAGTGGCCTGAAAAAAGACAGTTCGGTACCATGTCCGTTTGCCGATGCCAGAAGCTTCAAACTCCGGTACTGCATCCTCGCCAATTGCCGAGTGTGCCTCAATTGGTTGAGACTTGAGGGAAGCCATGTTGCACGGACTGTCTTGGGTCGCAGGCGAACAATGTTCTGTCAACAGACTGTAGATAGCAATCGCGAGATAGGTAAAAGCTGGCTTCAGAAAGCTCCTCTGAGATCGCCAGGTTGAACGACAGCCCAGACTCGGAACACAATCTGAAGACTACGCACTTTCAAAGTCATGAAGGTAAAGTTGAAATATCTTCCACATCCTGGTACTCTTTCCCCGATAGCGGTGGCTCAGTGTGTCGCGATCTGAGTTATCATGGCGTGCTTAATATGTCTCCACATCGAGTGCAAAGACACGCGAAGGATTCTCGACTGTCACAATGAGACTCTGGTATCCTTGGCTCAGTTGTTCTACTGATGCCTCTAAGAAACGTTCAAAGACCTTTGGACTCAAGGCAGGGGGTACAAGGGGGGATTGCACCATTTTGAAACCCACAAAACTGCATCCCCTCGTGGCATCTTGGTGATATTGGTTCACCGCGTCTTGTCACGCCAATCAACACCTAAATGTCTTTCCTTGATGCGCAATCCTTATCCGTGAATCAAATTCTTTTATTGCTTCATGAATTGCTGTCTCATCTTTGAGCAAGAGCTTCGATTGGATACCTCTTCGAGCCTCTTGATGTTCACATGTATACTGGCTGTCTCAATCCCTACTCCTGATGCAAGGCGGTGTTTGACGATTCTTTAGGCTTCGGTATCAGCATCCAACTGATACCTGTACCTGCAATCAGGGCTATCAGAATAGGCTGCAGCACACTGACGCCTATGCGAGATGCGATTACTCCCGTAATGACGGGAAACAAAGATCCACCAATCTGCCCGATCACAAACACGAATGAGAGGGCTGTTGGTTGCACCTCTGGTGAGAAGAGTTTGGATCCAACAGATATACCCTAGGGATCGTCAGACATCTGGGTCCTGCATCAGTAGTTGCACAACTTACCGTGGCGAACAGAGGACCAGAGAAGAATCCAAAGAAACTGATGGCCACTGAAGCAGCGATGATGTTTGGCACCCTGTTTCAGACGCATTAGACTCCAGTAGTCACGAGCTTGACGGCTTTCATACTCACAACCAGAACACCAACTGAAAGGCGATGCAGAGCACCACATAAAGCAAGATCATTCTCCTTTCACCTAGACGATAGGTAGGTTCAGCCAAAAGAAGGCGACCAAGCATGGCTCCTCCATTAAAGCCCGCCGGGACATAACCCACGGCGCCGAGATTACCACCACGAATCTCAACAAGATATTCGACAATCCATCCACTTGCTGTAATGGTCGCCCCAAGTAGGAAGAAAAAGAAGATACTGACCATCCAAAGAGATTTGGATCGTAAAGCAGTCTTCATTAGTTGGAATGCGCTCTTCTTCTCCTCTTCGTCAGTCCCTGCTTCTGGCTCAGTCGCCCTGTTCTTTTTACGTCCAAATTTGATAGTGTCTCGGAAGGCGTAGCAGGTCAGGGCAAAGTTGAGAACACCAATGGCGAGCGGGAAAATGTAGAAGAGATACCATCGAGAGGTCTCCCCAGCCGATGCAATTGGAGTCGCGACAAATGGGGCAACTAGACATCCTGCCATGTACAATGCATGGATAAAGGCCAGCCATCGATGTGCGGCCTTGGCGCTGGCTACATACGCATTTGCACCTGCATCTTGGTATGCCTGTCCGAGGCATACGAGCCAAAATGTGACGGCAAAGAATGGGAACGGAGGTCGCCATGCCCGGAGCGCGTGGGCCAAGACTTGGAAGAAGGCGCCAAAAGCGAGCAGTCCGCCGAGGTCAAACTTTTGTCGGAGATGAGTGTTGGTAAGGGCAGCGAGGAACCAGCCGAGAAAATTTGCTCCGTAGCTTGAATCAGGGATTAGTTTTGAAGCTAAGTTTTAAGATTATGGCTTTCGCTACGCACATAATAGAAACGACTGCTGTGGTGATGCTATAGTCGCGGATCATGTAGGGAAGGAGAGGACCGACACTACCATCATTGACTCCAGAGATGAAGAAGGCGAAGCCTGAGGCTATTAGCTTTAAGAGTGTGGCATTGTCAATTTTATTGCTCTGATCAGTGTCTGTAGGGTCAACGGATCCTAAAATGTGTCCACTGCGGGGTTGCTTCGGTGCTTCGGCAAGTTCGTAAGAGTCTGACGACGTGTGCTGCTGTTGAGTGACTGTGGCCATCATGAAGCTTCAAATAGTTAAGTCGAGACGGATATTCCAAGACTCCTCAGATGGAACAAGGCAGGCCATAGGATGAGGCGAGAAAGCCTTTATGGAGACCGGGCTCCAAGGCGAGGGACGGTTAATCAACGGCCCCGCCTATGCAGTTGGGTTGGTTGTTGTTCCGGAAGAGGACAATGGCTAAACTCCGGAGTGTCAATTTTAGATTATGTCACTCTACGTTGGAGGAAAACCGTCATCTGCCGGCCGGTCTCTCCACAAAACGGCGGGGCGGGCCGGAATTTCGGGCGCGCTTCCGTCTAGCTATTCCGGACTCGCCCAATTCGATACGCAAGGCAACCAGGTGCTCTCATTAGCGTCTGGCTTCTCAACACTATCAACAGCAGGGTAGCCGAGGACTGTAAGTAGAACGAACCTGAATTCAATGGTTTCTTTGGTTTTAAAGGCGATCCAAGTATAATGACGAGTTCCAGGTCGGAAGCCTTGTGCAAACATATTTCTGAAGCGGCGAGCAAGAAAACCTTCTATCCTCAAATCATCGTACCTTAATTCGGGCTTGAGTCATGACGAAATATTTCCTCCTCTACAACGGTCAGTAAGTTCTCTCGCTTAAATATGCAAACGTAATGGGCTGCCCGATTCACAAATCTTGACTTCGTCCATGTTGGCCCAAATCGTTCCTTCTATTTTATTGATCAAAACTACCAACTGTGGACATTCCGAAACTAATTAAAAAAGTGTTGAATCCATTCACTTCAAGTGGATGGAATGATTGTGAGAGCTGTAGATTCTTTGACCAACAACGACAAATACTAAATCATGATTGGAAGTCTCTGATATGAGGGCTCTCCTTTCTCTAATCGATGCATTGAAACCTAGCGCTGAACGTTTGGTGAGCCTGCAAGGCCATCGAACGCAGCGATAGCCTCTCATTTTGCTCGAACTCAAGATATGCGCATTTAGCTTTTGATGTCGACTTTTTAGCCATTCGACCATGCCAATAACAACACAGAGGAACTAGAGCTTCGGTGACGTATTGTACAAAAGGGTCCATAACGTGGGAGATGAATGACTGTACTGCCACAGAGGCTGTTGCTTGTTAATAATACTGCTCCTCACAATCCTATGTACCTGAGGTAGGTGTTAAAACCTCGCCGAGTGCCAAACGCCAGGAGCACATTGTCGCCCCTTCTCGGTCCCGGATGTTTTGTTGGCGCATCCTAGCTTCTTATGAAACTGTTCTGCAGGAAAAGGCACAGAAACAAAAGATTTGAATTTCACGGAGTAAACTTTCTAGTATCGGCAGTCCCAGCCCAATGGGCAGCCCACCACTTCATTAATTGGACTGAGACAGCTGGGGCGAGTGTGACATCCATTCCAACCACACACACACACACTATGACCGGCATGGCCAAATGTGCCGCCGAGTTCTCGAGACTCTCCTGGCGATCTTTCAAGCAAGCTTGAGAATCTTACTTCTGGAGGGGCATAGCCGGTACGTTTTAGCACTGTGATGTATTGAAGAGTAGATGATTCAGTCGGATCGGTAGTTGCATATCTAGTGTAGATTTCAAGAACGCACGTCTTGACCATGTAGCATTGTGTGGTATACTCCTGCCGAACCCTTGGTTGAACGGAAAGTTGTCGGCGATGACTACCTTGGGGAGCTGTCGTTCATGTAGGATGCGATACACTGACGGCCGTTGACACTCGATCGTTCGCGACCGTAAGGGGGAATGGTTGTGTGAATTTCCGAATACAGAACATGTCGAGTCATATGCGAAGAAGACAAACTTCAGCCCAAGAACGGGGCGTGTGCTGCCCTTGCGGGGTTGTTCCTGTTGTTCCTGAAATAGTACGGTTTCATGCGTACCTGATCAGACGGAAAAGTCTAAAACGTCATCCGTCAAATCACAAGTAGACATATATCCCGCGTCGGAAATGCGCATACTTGCACCGGCCGAGTCCTTGATAGTGTTATTTTATCGTTTTTTTATTTTTTCTTGAATTTAATCTCAACTATCGCGAGACGAGTTCCCACAGTATTATACCACAGAATCGGTCCTCGCCTTCCGCACAAAAACTACTTTGTGAATATTCTGTCCCAGACAGTGATTGGAGTTTTTGAATGTATAGAAACGAGTGAGATAGTATAATGAAAACATCGTATGCAGAATGTCGCCCATTAATACCCATAAGTGAGTGAGAGTACGATGGGCCAGCAGCACAAGAATTTGATCTGAGATCACCAGCCGAAATTGGACATGAGGTTTCGCCGCTTCACGAAGCTCGCTCGTCGACGTCTTTCAAATGCCGCTCCCGCCGATTTCCCTGCGGCTGCTGCTCCCTCTCCCCCAGCAGCCGCTTCCTTTGCCTTCTTGGCCTCGGGGTCGTCACCTTTGCCTTTGCCTTTGCCTTCAGGTCCACCCGCAGCTTCCTCAGCAGGCCCAGCGGCGCCCTCAGGACCGTTGTCCTTGGCCTTCTTCTTCGCCTCGGGGTCATCGTCTTTGCCTTTGCCCTTGGCTTTGCCATCTGGACCTGCTGGCGCTGTGCCGTTCACGGCCGCTCCTGGAAGAAGTGCGGCTTTGCCCTTAGCCTTCTTGTCCTTCTTGGCCTTCTTGGCTTTTCCATCTGGTCCAACGGCTTCGGTGCCGTTACCTGCGGCGCCGGGAATCGCCCCCTTGCCCTTTCCATCCTTCACCTTCTTTGCGTCTTTGCCCTTGGCGTCCTTGCCTTTCTTTCCCTTCTTGCCCGGAGGCGCAGGTGCTGTTCCGTTGGCGGCGGCCTGGCCGGGGCCAGCAGCACCTGCTAGTTGTCCCTCAGCCTTCTTCTTGGCTTCATCTCTTGCCTTCTTTGCGTCGTCCCTTGCTTTCTTGCCGGCGTCATCCTTACCCTTGCCCTTCTTTCCTTTCTTGCCGGCAGGGTCAGTTCCATTTCCTGCGAGAGCGGGAGGAGGAGGAGGTTGAGCTGCAGCAGGTTGAGGAGGAGCCCCTACGGCCAATGGCGCAAGAGGCTCACCAGCTACAGCGGGAGCAGCCTCCGGCGGCGGTGGTGGTGCCCCCTCGGCATCAGGCGGCGGTGGAGGAGTGTTGGGGTCGGGAGCCGGTCCGCCATCGGGGGGTGGTGGTGGAGGCCCATCATCAGGAGGAGGGGGAGGTGCCTCGCCGTCTGGAGGTGGTGGTGGAGGAGCATTGGGATCGGGAGCTGGACCTCCATCAGGGGGTGGCGGGGGAGGGGCATTCGGGTCAGGAGCCGGTCCTCCCTCTGGAGGAGGTGGTGGTGGCTCTGCGTTTGGATCAGGCGGCGGCGGCGCTTCATCAGGAGGTGGTGGAGGAGGCGCGTTCGGGTCTGGAGGAGCAGCATTTGGATCGGGAGGCGGCGGCGGCGGTGCTCCGTTAAGTGGTGGTGGCGGGGGAGCACCGTTAGCCGGAGGAGGAGGTGGAGGAGCGCCATTCGCGGGAGGCGGAGGCGGAGGAGCCGCGTTTGGGTCAGGCGGTGGTGGAGGAGCACCGTTAGGCGGAGGAGGGGGAGGAGCAGCGTTTGGATCTGGAGGCGGCGGAGGTGCACCGTTCACAGGAGGAGGAGGAGGTGCTGCTCCATTTGCCGGGGGAGGAGGAGGAGGGGCCTCTCCCGCAGCCGGTGCCGGTGGTGCTGCCGGTTGGGCTTGAGGGACAGCAGGAACAGCCCCATCAGCAGCAAGAGGAGCTACATCCGGAGTCCCATCGCCTAGATAGAGTCAGTTTATGCATTTGATACCAATATGTGATGTGCATGACGAACCCTGTGCCTTATTATTACTGCCAAGAGCAGACAATACACTATCGACGTCCAACTTCTGTACAAAGTTTCTGACATTCAGGCCTCGAGCCTTTACGGAGGCAACATTCAAAGCCCGCTTTGTATCTTCCGAGGCTTCATTATTTCGTCGGGTATCGTAGTTGGCCGTTACGGCGACGTTGAACAGCAACGCTGCCACGGCGGCTTGGCGCCACGAGAGAGTGAAAGTCATCGAGACGTGGTTTGCTAAACAAACATAGAGACTAGGTAATTGTCGTAAAGTGGAAACTTCTGTGGCGTCAAGCCTAACAGAGAAGGAAAAGGAAAGGAAGTCCACACAGCAGACTATAAAGAGAAAAAGAATGAGATGAAAAGAAGAGGAGGAGGCGAACGAGTAGGTTGGGGAGCAGAAGATCCGGACCGACAGAGAAGAGACGAAAGTCTCGGTTTAGATATAAAGTCGTTCGCCGACGGGGTGTGGGTGCGTGATGCTCCACTAGGCTTAGTCGGTTGAATCTGCTCTTCTCCGGACAACTGCCACCGTGATGGTTATACAACCCAGACACAACCAGACACTACTAAGTCAAGTGCAGGGGCCTGTTTGAGGAGTGCGCTGAACAAAAAAATCGCGAGTTCCAGAATGGCCGACCCAGTTGGACCGAGTGTAAGATCTAGGCTCAGGGGGCAAGGTTGAGATGTGCGAGCGAGGAGAGGGCAGCTCGCCACAGAATAGTTCGATGCCACGCTTGAAAGTCTCTCGCTTGAGGACAGGTGATAGAAACGGCGCTGTGACAGGCTACAACAAGCCTACAGGTCCAAAATTAGACTCTGAGTCGAGACGATCCGGACTCATATATGGCCTGCATAGCGGGAGCTCGGAGGCGATCGCCAAGGCAGTACCCTTGGGAAAGTACACGGACAAGGTGAACAAGGCTCGCAGACAAGCTTATTCATGTCAACGTTGCGGCGGCCCGCGGGGATTTGCGCTCGGGTACTAACTAGTCTTAGTGAAGTTCTCCAGTCTAGTAGAAATGTGCCATGTTCTCAAACCAGTCGTGCGGGGGGGTTGTCGACTGCCCGTGATGTTGACACACTAGAGATGTTGACTAGGTGTAGGGGAGGAAAGTGTCCGCCGCTGTTGTCGGCAGGGTTATCCCGTGCGCAGCGGGCAAGCAAGACACGAGAACCACACCATCGCAAGGATAGCGGGGATCTCGTCTTGCTGAGAAGAAGATGGATTGCCATCATTGACCGTGCAGTAGCAGCACTAGTGACAGATTCGGACTGGTGGAGGAGAATCGCTCGAGGAAGAACCGTTTCAGTTACGGGGCCATCTCTATCCGGAATGCCTTCTTCGCTGAGAGCAAATTGTGGTCCTCACAAGTGGCTGAGTGTGCTGTCACACCAAGTCGCAGATGTGTGCCAAGAGGGGTTGACATTGCACAGCAGTGAACCTGGGAGGAAAACTCAAATGCTATCGGACGACTATTTAAAAGTCGGCAAACCCGTTTCAGTTTGTTTCTTTCGGGTGTCTATACTACGCTAACAAATTTGCGCGTAGTTTTAGTGAACTGATCTTAACGCACTATCAAGCCCTCCTAGGTCACAGATCGTCTCAGACTTGGGGGCCATGGGGCCACATGCCTGGAACAGGAACTCTGCGCAGCCGGAATACTCTGGAGTCAGGTTCGTGGGCGAGATGGACTGATTCATCCGCTTCGGTCATCTGAAAGATCAGTCTGTCAGTGTGAGTTTCCATGCAACCTCCAGTCTCCAATTCCCACTTCAAGGTTTTTGAATGATGAACGATAGACAGGCGGCGACTTGCACTGATCCGGTGTGAATTGACGCCAAGGCAATTAGACATTACCCTCGTCGGCCGTCACACATGTAGCACCCTCGACCAACCTGATGCTTGACATCTGCGAACATGTTCTCGTCATTCTTCCTCAATTTTGAGCGACTCAGTGTAGATATAGAGTGACGTTGACAAGGGAGTAGTGAGTAATCGGCCCCTACCAAAAGCCCGTGAAACACCTCGCCTACATTCAGGTGGCTCAATGTACTTATAAAGCCATGTGTCATTCTTGATTGCCCCTCCGTGATTTGAGGCAGAATGCGGTAACAACAGTATTGCTTCCCCGTAGCAATGATGGCACTTGGACCAAGCGGCAGATCACCGTTGAATGTTTGCGATGCGCAGGGAGATTGACCTTGTCCATGTTCGCGAGTTGCTCGTAGCCATAATCCTTGCTGATCTTCAGACGCACGCTGTCGAGAGTTGCCACAGCCACGATGGGATTGATGACAAAAAATCACAACCCCTGCAGTCACTATTCGTTGAAGATTTCGTGATTTCTTACACAAACACAATTATCACCACAACTGCAAGTATTACCAGGAGGGTGGTAATGGGGACATCAGATGCGCAGTAAGAGCCGTTTATCATTACGACCAACAGCCAAGAGACACCCAACATCAGGCGCCAAGAAGTGCACAGATGGGAGATTTCAACCATAGAACTGCAACTAGACCCCGGATCTATCGCATGATTAGTTTCCACTCTCGTGGGTCCAACAACTTCCTACTTTTCGGCCGGGCTCGCTTGTACATCTGGTAGCCTGTAGCAAAATATGTATACAGCAGCGACAACTAACGAATCTCCATGACAACGTGGAAGTTCAAGTCACCATACAATTCAGACTCAGTACTAGTTGAATTAAAAACTCACCATGCATCGAACATAGCCATCAGCAAATAACCAAGAAACATTCACCGTTTGACATAATGTCTTAGTGCTTCGATGTCATCGATTCGCTTTATGTACCCTATCTTTTTGGTACCTCGGAAACTATGATTCCACTTGGAAGCTCTTGTTTCTGTTCAAGAAGATGAGAGCTAAGGGAAGAAAGACAACTTTGGGCGATCCTATTGTCTCAAAGTATGTTTCTGCGTTGTACTCAATTTACAGCACTGTAGCATAGTCGCCCGAAACTTAAAACTCTGCCAATCGTATTCTGAATGTATTAGACAGCAGTAAGTCCAGGAAGACATCTAGGGCCAGTGGCCCAGCTTGGATGATAATTGAGAGATGGCTCCCGGATTCTCCTGGCCAGAAGTTCAAAAAAGGTTCGATGCTGCGACTTACATGTTCCAGTCCTCGGCAGATGTCCTATTTGAGGACATGTGAGTAGCTGGCTGCGGACCCTCGTCATGGTCCTTTTCCGATTCCACAAGTCAAATCTGGATCAAGCCGATTGCTTTCCAGTGCCATATGTCAGCCTCGAGTTATGGCCAGGAGGTGTGTGTAACTCGCCGCTCAATACGTAAAACAGTTTATCGTTATGAGGACGCGAAAACACGACGTTGTCGGGAAACTCTTACTCGCAAGAATTACAGCATCAAATTATTCAGACAGAATTACCCTCAGACTAAGAGAGTCTGGATAGACAAAAGGGGCGGCTTTGTTTTCTGGCTCAATACAGCGATGACCGTGCATCCGTCGCCAGTGTGAACACTTGCAACGCCCTGGTCCTGCCACAGCCAACACTCCATCGGGCCTGCGATGCCGGTGTTGATGAAACCCGGTGCGAAACCCCAATTCTCCATCTGTTGCCTCCACGAGGATCCGCTCTGGCAACAGGCGGCTCGTTCTCGTTATCCAGGATATTACCCGAGTAGAACAATGAAAACACTTATTATAAGGAACTCCTTTGTTTCTTAAACACTCAAAGATGTTGCCTCTTTCCCTGTGAAGGATTGCTCTAATGTTGGGGGGGGGGGGGGGGGGACGAAGCTCTGAATAAAGAGGAATGAACAACTGCTAATCAAGATTGTAAATGCATCACAATAGAGTTCTTATCTGCGCGATCACTCGCGGCCCTGAAGCTTAAAATAAATGCGGGCGAACACCACATGCTTGGATTTTGGTTTCACCTCTGCAGTGACACTGACAGGCTCACAGACGTCCGAACATCTGAAGTCAAATTACACGCAAGCATCCTTGAGATCGGGTTCATGGGCATACCTAGGACACCTTCCGCCTGGAGCTGAAGAGGCAAAAGTCTCACCATCAACCACGAAAGGTCATTTGGGGTATGCCCTGTAAGAAATGCTCTGGCATAATCCGACACGTAACGTAAGGTGCTTTTTGGTGTCGACGAAAAACCCTCCGGCCTCCGACTTTTCCCTCAGGAAGTCTCTTGCGAATCATGGTGTTGCCGTTGACGCCGTTGTTCCTGGCCCTGGTCTGAGCCAAGGAACATAAATCTGCAGAGTGTTTCCAGCCTCTGCTTTCCTGTTCAAATGCTCTAACCCATTTGATTGACACCATTGACACTAGTGTCGACTGATGTTGGGTTCAAGCCCTGCGCCAAGAGAAAGGCCATCTCGTAGATACAGATCGGCCAATTCCACAACGCTAGCTTATTGATAGCCCTTCTCGTGCTCAAAACAACTCTCACAATGTGTGTGATGACTAACAAAGACTACATGCTTGCCGGGGTCCCCCGCATTCTGCTGTTGCTCCCCCGGATTCAGGGTGGCCCCGTAAGCCCGGTTCCCCGCAATCCGGATGGCCCCCAAATTGGGTCCAAGGCTGCTTCTGCGTCGTCCAACCACCTTCGTCCCATTGTAACCATTGCAATATTGCAACAGACGCATCGTGAACAGCACCTCCAGCCACCGTGGCAGCAAGTAGCGATGGCAACGCAACAGATAAGCTCGGCGACACCCATTCCTGCGGCCGACGACGCCGCGTCTCGTCGCGCGAAGAAGAGGGAATTGGACCGACGTGCACAGCGAGCTGCCCGAGAACGGAACAAGAATCGCATTGCCTACCTAGAAGCGACTATCCAGGCTATGAGCGAGCAAGAGCAGAGCGCAAAGATCGACAGCTTGATGAACCAGCTGTCTGACATGACGAGACAAAGAGACACCCTGTCGAAAACACTCTCCTCACTAGAGACAACCATACAAGTCCACCGAGAAGGCGAACGTGCCGATACTTTGCAGGACCGAGCATCACAACCTGAGGCTACGGCTTCTAACTGTCAGCCGTGGCCGGGCGCTCATGAGAGTTCAAACGCTTTTGACATTGAGGTCGAAGATATGCCCTTAGACGTCTTCACCCCTGGCATCTCCGCCATAAGTTGGGGACTCCCAGTATCTGACGTAACCGGTCATACTCTTGCGACAGAGACGGAACTGGCCAACAGAGTTCCCGCTCCACCTAGCCTCGCCCTGGCAGGGAACCCTAATCTGGAATGTCTACCCGACTCCCCTCCGCCTCGACATCAAGGCGATGGTGTGATCGTGCCGGAGCCAGATAGTGCCTGTGAGTGTTTAGGATCAAGACAAGATCCTCAAAGCCCGGGTTTATCGACAACAAGTTTATGGAGATCCGCAAACGAAGCTCTTGGCGCCAGCGAAATGCTGTCCAGGAGTGTTCTGGCTATGGAGGACGAGATGAGCGACGACATTCCGGTCCGCGTCATCTTAGAAGGATGGGATGCCGTCGAAAGATCAGGGAAACTACCGCCCTTGTGGAGAAGACTCCGTCAGACCGATACGCTCCAGTTCAGAAACTGCCCGGATACCGAACGGCTTGCTATCCTGAGACTCATGCACCGCCTCCTCCGATACCAAGCCGAGCCCACAGTCGAACAATGCGCCAAGTTACCAGCATGGTATCTCAGCAGGTAAGCAGGTGGATTCGGCCGATTGTTCTTGTGAAAAATGCTCTGACAAATATCTAAAGACCATCTCAATCACTACCTCACTCTTCTGCAATAGATTTCTTCGTCTGGTAAGTCCTGCTTCTGTCAATGATTGAATTTCCATCGATAAAAAGTTACTTACGTTTCCCCCGCTTCTTAAAATAGGCCAGGTGTTCGAGAGCGCTTTGTCTTTTCACAACATCAGTACTGTTCGAACCTGTTCTGGGAGGTATTCGCAAGCAGCTTCCGAATCATGTGGCCTTTTGAGTTCCGCGATTGCTACCGGCGAAACATCGAGACAAGACGATACTGTGTGGCCCCAGAGTTCGAGGACAGGATCCGTGATATCAACTCCTGGACCATGTCGTCAGACTTTTTCAACCACTTCCCGGAGATGTATGCCGACATCCCAGCATATCAAGAAGTGCCAAGACTTTTAACTTGGAAAGATGCTCGAGAGAGCAGGCTACGACAAAGTGGAAGGGTCAAAGAACTAGAGACTGGAAGCTCTCCGCGAAGTAGGAGAAATTCTGACATGGACATGCTGAGCCTGGCAACAGTACAAAACTGGCCAGCAGGTGACTTTCTACTCTCAAATCCTTCAGGCACATAAGTAGATTTCAGTGTTCCCGTTAGCCGATGTGAATTACTTAGTACACAAGAAGAGTCTACCATAGACATGCGGGAACTGTAACCATAGTCGAGATTTGCCCCTCCTCGCTCATCATGATTCCTCACCTTTCACTCGCATTTGAAGCTCATGGCATCCTTCACGTCTCCGCTTCCTTTGTACTTGATAGACTGGGGGTAAGGACAGAGGTTCCGAGTCGTGTTGGTACCCTCCTGCGTCGTCACAGCAAACAAAGTATCTGGGGCCTTGCCACTTTCGACCCAGTCGACGAGAACAGAGAGCGGCTCAACGGGAACGGGGCCGTACCCACCACCGCAATGTCCCGCCCCCGGCGCCAAGAACAGCCGATAGAAGCTCTTCAGAGATTCCACGCCACCCACCCTCTCTTGAAGTCTGTCCCAGAAAAGTGTCGTCCCGAGATGGGTGATGAGCGGATCACCCATGCCATGCCAAGTCAACAGCTTCCCGCCCGCTTGCTTGAACTCCGTGAGATCGAAATCATCGGATCCAAAAGGCTTCGTGTACTTTGCCACAGACTCGTTGAAGATATCCTCAAACTCTGCGAACGTGAGAGATGCGGTGTCGAGATCTGGGTCCTGTGCTACGAAATATCGCATCCATGCTTCGGCCGCGGCGAATGGCACCGGCACGGTGACACCATCAACCGTCTTCGTGTTGGCGAGGCCGGTGAAGGGCGCGCCTGGTGGATTTCCATACCACAAGAAGTTGCCTGTTGTAGTTCTTGAGCCTTCAAGTGTTTTCGCAATGACTTCGGCAAAGTCCTCCGTTATCACGACAGGTCCATCAGTATCGGTACAGTTGATGCTCTGCCCAATGAGTTGGCTGGAATCAAACTGACACTTCTCGGGCGCTGAGATGAGGCCATCTTTTGCGCCATCCTGTGGATCGCACTCCGCAATGATTGCCTTTTGATACTCCAGGAAAACGCACTGTGGTGGTGCGGCAATGTTGCCCATGACTACCGACGGCCAGAAGTCCGCAGGGGATAATTGAGGTGTGTTGATGGCTGGGGCATTGGCCAGGACACCATCGAAGTCATACGGATCGTATTGAGCAGCGAAGTAGCCCTGTCGTCCACCCTGGGAGCAGCCGCTGTAGTAAGAGTGGTGGGGTTTGGTACCGTAGAATGCCTTGACTGCCTCTTTGCCGATAAGTGCCATCTCATGGATGGACCGCGTGGCAAAGTTTTCGATCAATGGCTCGTTGATACTGCCGTTGGCTCTGAGAGCCCATTGACCAGAGTTCGCGTCAATCGTGTGATTCAGCGTTAGCCCGGCATCCGTCGAGCCAGCAGCATATCCCTTGGAGACGGGACCAGCAAGAGCTGAGGCAAAGGTACCCGCAGCAAGACCGCCACCACCAGTGGCGAGAAAGCGTCCGTTCCAGGTATCTTCAGAGGGTAGCCAAATGCTCACAAACACAACGTCGTCTGCGCCATGGTGATTGAGTGCTAGAGTAAAGTTGCAAAAGTCGAATTTCGACGTTGGGTCAGTAGGTAAAACATAGTCGCGGACCTCATTGCTCTCGGTGACTATGACATTAAAGCCGTCAATTGGCGGTATCTCGAGTTTGTCGCAAGTCAGCGGTCGAGGATCAACACAGCCTTTGGAAGGCAGACCCAGAACCCTTTGACCTAAGATCCATGTCATCAACAAAAGCCAGACTGTCATGATGAATAGAAACACTAATGGTCAAGAGTGGATATCAACTGGGGGAAGGTTCTCATTCCGACTCCTCTCGAGACAAACAGCCATCATCTTACTACCTTTATAAACCATTTCCCACACTCATTGCCCCGTAGATTTCATCAACGCAAGTGCATGCGAGGGGAAGTGCGAGCGAGTTGCCTCGTGGAGCTGGGTAACACTGCGGGGATCTTACCATCTATGCCAAGCGAGCTCCCCAGTTTTCCATTCGAGCCGGAGTCTCCCAAGTCTCCCATGCACTTTCGGAAAGTGTTGGTGTGGTGCTCAGCTGCGAGAGCAAATGGTTGCGATGCAGCACCCCATACTAACCACGTAATCATACCAGCCCAAGGGCTAGATTTCTGTATTGAAGCCATCATCATTCGCGAGCCAGAATGCCGGGTCTCTTCTCCCGAGTAAAGGGATAACCAACTCTTGGCTGGCGTTGAGCTAGCGGTTGCTAAGGTGCGGTTGATGAGCGGAGGTTGAGCTACTGACACATGGTCCGAGAGTCTGCGACTCTGACTCTAGCGCCCTGACTCAGTGGCGTCGCTCCCCCTCCACTCTCATGATTGGTGTTCAGCGAATCATCAGACTTCTTATGAGACTTTGCATTTCGCAAGGCACGTTCTGGGAGTCCGGATTTGATGCTAGTTGTGCAGGAAGCGACCACGTCCCCCGCACTACCCCGGATTACCCCGCATCCAACCTTTCTCTCGGAGCTGCTAGGTGTCAAGCGAAATGGAGGCTTGCTTTGAGGCTTGCTTCGGCCTGGATTAGGCCCATGGTGGTAGATGGAAACAGGTCACCATCGCATTCTGATGGATATGTCTGTCTTGGCGATGACTCCTGGTGAAGACCCCTGCGAATACTTAAGAGAATGATCAGCATGTCTTGTACAATGGATCTCGGATTTGAGCTGTAGCAGAACTTGGGTGTCTTGCTTCATCTGCTTACAACCTCAACTCATCAGGAAAATATCAATCAGAATGGAGCAGCGAAGAGCCTCTGGCGACCTTCACCAGGGAGATGAAGAGTTCGGCACTCGTACCATTGACGAAAAGATTCATGATTCAACTCACGTGGAGGATGTGAAGGGACGAGATGTCGGCCAGATCTGTGGACTCACCGAGGCCGAGCAGAAGAAAGTCATGTAAGTCACCTGACAGGTCCATCGTACGCAACTAAAAAATGCTAACTACGAACTCAGCCGTCGCATCGATATTCGTCTACTTCCGATTCTAGGCATAATGTACTCGATTTCCCTCATCGATCGAACGAATCTCGGCCTTGCCTTGGTTGCGGGCATGCAGGAAGATCTGGGGCTGGCTGTGGGAAATAGATACACTGTCATTGTGATGGTATTCTTTGTTGCATATATGTCTGTCCCTTCAAGATGTCCCAGCAGTGATCAAAGAATGCTGACGAATTCACTAGTCTCTTCGAAATACCCAGTGTACGACCCAGGTGTGGTTTCAATTGTGATGGAGACTTTAGCTGACCGCTGTAACAGAATCTCGTATTGCCAAAGGCAGGACCCGCAAACTGGCTTTCGTTCCTCGGTGTAGGCTTTGGCGTGGTCCTGATCGGAATGGGCTTTACCAAGAGCTGGGGTGCTATGGCAGTCTGTCGAGCTCTTTTGGGAATATTGGAAGCAGGCTTTCTACCAGGTACCGTCACCGTCCGTCAGGGTTTGACACCAGGTCTTGGTGAAAACAGATTTTAACGTTGGAAGTTCAACAGGTTGCACTTATTTGATTACTTGCTGGTATACACGCTTTGAAGTGGGGAAAAGACTTTCGGGTTTTTGGATCCTTTCTGTCCTTGCTAGCGGTTTCTCTGCAATCTTTGCATATGTCCTGACTCTTCTCCGTGGAAAGAGTGGACTGAACGGCTGGAGCTGTAAGTTGAGATCTTGACAAGTCTTTTGAAATTGCAATATCATGCTCATCAAATATAACAGGGATCTTCATCATCGAGGGCGCAATTACCGTGGTTGTGTGTGCTCTGGGCTGGTTCATCATCATCGACTTTCCGACACAGGCCGGCAAGTTCCTGAAGCCGGCGGAGCAAGAGTTCGTCATTGCCCGTATCAATCAAGATCGCGGCGATGCTGAGGAGGACCACATTAATCTGGCCAAGATTCTGCATCACCTCAAGGACTGGAGGCTGTACTTTTGGGCGTTCAATCTCATGGCTTCGACACTTCCTGGATACGCTTACTCCTACTTTCTCCCAATTATTCTTCGCAATGGCATGGGCTTCAGCAGCACCCAGGCGCAACTTCTTTCTGCGCCTCCCTACGTTCTAGCAGCGATCGTGGCCTACATCTCCGGCTATCTTGGAGATAAGTACAAGATTCGAGGGCCAATCATTGCAGTCCATCAAGCTTTAACTGCTGTTGGCATGTTGATCACCGTATACGGCAAAGCTAATGGTGCTCGCTACTTTGGAGCTTTCCTTGGTATGTTTGTTTGTATGAGCTGTAGGTGACTGTACAAGGTACTATGACTAACCTTACTTCTACTTACTAAGTCAACATACCCACTTCCTGGCACCCCCCTGTTTCTGGCACCACAAAAACGATGGGATCACAACCCAACCTCCTCATTACTATTAACTATTGATCCTCAACCACACCCACTACAATACAGCTGCCAGCCTCACTAGGGCATTCAGAGTCGCTGGATTCAGCCGTGATAACCTCCTTTTCACCCGCTTCGATTTGAGCCCGATGGATATCCCTGATGTTCGCGAACTTCGTATTGGGATCG